TGGAAACGACGGAAGGGAAAGGTAATTAATGTAACTTGTACTGAAAGGCAACAGACTGACGAGACGACGACGTAAAGTGGAAAAGAAACCTAAAACCCCTTTTTACCCTAGAACCCCAGAAACCCTAAACCCTAAATCCTGTGGGCTTTTAAACACTAAGGCGGGAATATTGAAAGAATATAAAACAGAAATCATTTATATTCTTCTAAGGGGGCATTTTGTTAGTGGCAAATCGAGAAAAACGATCGAAATCGAAGGAAAGAAATGTGACGCGATAAGATAAACAAAAATTCATTCGATGTCTAATTAGAAATACGTAGCATATAGCATCGAGAAGCACAGTCGAGAATCGAATGAATAATAATCAAATGACTGTTGTCGAATAAAAACTAAGTCATATAAGACCAGAGTTAAAAAGGAATCGTAAGCAATTCAAAGTTCTTGAGAAATACAGAATCGAGAGTAAAGAAAGCCAATGTGGACATCGAGACTTTGGCCAAATCGTGAAAGGAAGTAAGTCGAATGCACGTATAAAGAGCAGTTTTGAAATCATGGGAAAAAAGTCGGAGATCGTGAGAACGTGGGAAACTATAGAAGATAAACTGCCATACGCACGTAGAACGTGGTAGCAGTCGCGTTAACTGCTCTCGGAAGGCTTGAAGGATGCCCTATAAATAGAGCAAAGGAGGAAGGAACGGGGGAGCAGAAATTGGCAGAGAACAGAATCAGTAGTGAAAAGTCTACCGGAGAAACGACGAACACCATGAAGCTTCTGGCAATCTGGATTTCCTTGCTCACTGAGTACATTTACCGCTTTCTGTATTTTCCTTGGTAATTTATTTTGATGCAACTTAAATTCAGCAGTTTTATGTTTCTGTATTTTCGATTCCTTGTCCATTTCAATTCAATGAAAATTTAAGTTTATGCATTTAAGTTTTCATGTTATTTAATGTTCTGCAAACCTCGATTTCCTGTCACTTACTTTTCTTGCAATCTCGATTTCTTGTCATTTATATTTGCACTATTTTCGATTCCTCGTCATTTACAATTGATGCAAATTGGGATTTTCGCTCTTTACATTTTCTTGCAATTTAACATTGTTTCTTGATTCAATACTTTTACTGCTTTCGATACTTTGAAATACAAAATACCAAAAACAGCATTTTCGATATCCTATAATTTTCGATTCTCATACACGTTTTCGATTGAAAATCAAATTGCTAGCCTAAGTAAAAAGAGCTTACGTGGGAGGATTTCGATTAAAGACCAAAATACCCTTAGAATCGAAATTGATCGAAATTCCACCAGAAACAAATTGGCGCGCCAGGTAGGGGATACTCCAGTTGCTAAAAGAGCCAAGTTTAGTCTAAATTAATGCCCAAAGGGAAATTTAGAAATTGAGGAAATGCAAAAGATTCCCTATGCATCAGCTGTAGGGAGTTTGATGTATGCCCAAGTATGTATGCGTCCAGACATAACATACATAGTTGAGGTTCTAGGCAGGTATTTAAGCAATCCAAGAATGGACCATTGGAAAACAGCAAAAAGGGTCATAAGATATTTAAAGAGAACAAAAGATTATATGCTTGCGTACAGGAGGTCAAACCAATTGGAGATCGTTGAGTTTTCTGACTCAGATTTTGCAGGATGTCAAGAATTTGTAGCATGCTATAAGGCATCAAATCATGGAATATGGCTGAGAAATTTTGTCACAGGGTTGCAAATTGTGAAAGGCATTGAAAGACCACTTAAGTTATATTGTGACAACAAATCAACTATATTGTTAAGGAAAGAGTACAGAGTGAACATGTTTCCATAGAACAATTAAGGACAATCTCCATGATAGCAGATCCTCTAACTAAAGGACTTTCGTCCAAGGTCTTTCACGAGCATGATGCTCACATGAGTGTTTTACAATTTGAGGAATTTGTGGTGTAGTGGGAGTTAGCAATTTTTATATATTTTATGTTCTACACATTGACTTTTGAACATATTTGGTTATTTATAGATATGCGATTTTTTCGTTCATTCATTACACTTTGTACATTAAGGTTATTATATCGATCTCGATAAGTTAAAGTTTTGACCAGTTGAAAATAGACGTATATAGATCACCTTCACGTAATTTTTCATGTTACACATTTCATGATGAATCCATGTCATTTGGTTATGTCAAGATTAGTAATCATTGTTGGTTTTAGTTGCGATGATGCAATGAAAAACTGGTTTAGTTCTATATCCTGATATGATCAATTAACAAGACTTTTGGAGTATGCTAAAGGAATATAATGACAATTTTGAGCTCATAAAGTCTAATACATTTATAAGGTTGTAAGGACATATATATTTGTGATCAGTGAAAGATTGTTGGCAAATATTTGGTAATGTATATATATGATACATAATTTAAATGTGTTAGAGTCATTATCTGTTAAGGCAAATAATAAAGTGATCTGACTAAATTAAAATTTTTGGCTAAAGGCATATGTCATAAAAATAAAATTGTGTAGAGACTATAGAACAATTTCTAATTTAATGAGGGGTCAAATTGAAAATACTAAAATTTAAGTAATTAACCTAATTCTGGTTATTTAAAGGTCATGATCCCTTTTTGGGAGCACACACAGAACGTAAGTTTTAGTTCTGTTTCTTTCTTTCTATCCCCATCAAGAGAGAAAATCCAGAGGAAAATCCAGATGTTCTCCGGGTGTAAGACCATAAGATCAATAGTATTCTAAAAAAGACATCATCATTATAGTAATTCAGGTACACTTTTATATTCAGTTTATAATATGTTTATCAGTATGAAATTACGTTTATGTTTGATTGTTAGAACGAAGATCATAATTAATTACAGTTTTCCAACCGTTTTATCCTAAGTTTTACTTAATTTGAGACTTGAGATTAACTATTTTTTTAATTATTCTATCGTCACCAACTTGGTGCTTCTTATAAGCTCTGACTTTCATGGAAGAAACCAACAAAATGAGGTTAAATTTCTCTAAAAGCCACCCATCTCTTTCCTTTGAAAGGTGTCAAATTGTCCTATATGACTGTATGGTAGTCGTTGCTTCTAGTTTTAGCCATAAGAGTGTCTGGTTACGTCATCACTTTGGCCCTATTTCTTTGGTGCCCAATGATACTTGTTTGAATTTATGTTCTAATTAGTTGGCTCACTGGAATTGAATCCGACAATAAAAGGATTAAACTGTCCCACAACTTTGGATAGAAATGTAATAACTACCAAAGCTATAAAAAAAATGGTGATAGCTGTCAAGAAAGTTAAAGGGGAAAGAAGCTACGAAAAAATGGTTTTATTCAGACAAGTACTCTAAACTCTCTTTTTTGTAGTCAATAACACGATAGCTTAAAAACTACTCTTCTTCAACCCTCCACTCATGAGGAATCAAAATATTGAAGGTGGATTTTGAGGGTGAATAGTGTCCAATACTTTTTTAGTACCATTTCCAGATACACTCACACACTTTCTTTTTCCCCTTTTTTTGGCATTAAAACAAAAGTCCAAAGGTAAACCTGAAAAGCCAACATAAATTGTCACTGTAACTTCTTTACATCATAACAAATTAGAAAATATCTTAAATATAATTCTTACGCTACAAAATGGGAATAATCATTTTTTTAAAATTTTGTGTTTATACCTTTCATAAATCATTAGGAATTTAAACAGAAAAGTTTCTATTACAATTTGTGTTAGAGACGCATTGAATTTCACCGTTGATGTGCATTAATTTATCTGAAAACTTTTTCACTCCGTATTTCTTAAGAGACCAAGTGATGTTTATATTCGACTCCTTTTAAAAAAAAACAATAATTATTCTTTAATACATATTTTATCTCTTGATTTGAGGAGAATCGAATCTTCAACATTTGTTTTGGTTATCTTTTATTGAAAAAAATCATCGGGAAATAAATAAAAGGTCATTGTTGTTTTCATCTAATAAAATATTAGACTAAGTTGAACCACTCTATCACGTGGCTCCGGGTATAAATTAATAAGCAACAAGTAAATTACCTTATCTTCTTATATTAATTTTCAATAATTAAATTTTGTTCATACATTGTCTAGTTTAACCCTTCATTGTTCTATAGTTTTTTTTTTTAATTGTGATGTAGAAATAAAATCTTCAATGTTATATTTTCACATTGCTCTTGCTTATTACTTTATCATCTCATCATAAATAAGTACCAAAAAGCAGTTCAAATAACCACGTTTCATCAACCATCTCAACTGGGTCAAAAATTTTCTAATAACGACGAGAAAAACTAAATTTAAACCTGAATCTCTTAACTAATGGCCCAGATGATGTTTAATCACAACATCCTCACTGATTATTGTAAAATTATATTTTTAAACAGAAAAAAGTTCATTAAAAAAATAAAAAATTTACCTCCATAAATCACAATATAGTCCATGCTAACATTTGGTTAATAATTGTGTTTTCTGTGTCCTCACTAAAATTAAAATGGTTTTTTGAAAATAATAATTGAAAAATAGTTTATTAAATGCTTTTAGTATAGTAATTTTTTGTCACCTAATATCAACTTCAAATATTTATTTTCATTTTTTATAATTATACGAATTATTTTTTAAACAAAACAACAAAACCAATTTACGTAATGATCTCTTTTCAAGTTTTTGTGACAATAATTCAATTCATATATTTTCTTATTAATAAAATCCCTTCTATTATTACAATTTTAATTTTTAAGTAAAAAGCATATTTTAGACGCAATCAAACTTAAAAGTAAACGCAATCTGTAAAAAATATAAAATATAAAAAGAGAAGCATCTTTTATAAAAAATTTTGCTGCGCATAAAATATAAAATTTTAAAATAAAAAAAGAACGCACTCCATGCGCATCTTTCACTGAGGTTTTGTCCTCTTTCCTCAACCTTGTGACTTTCACTTCAACAAACACAACGCAGAACACACTCTTCAATCTCTCTCCCTCTCTTCCTTCTTCTTCACTCAGCCAACATGAGCTCAATCGTTCAGGTGCTTTACCTTTTATACTCATACAAGATTTTCTTTCTCGGTTTTCGATGTCCTTAGGATTAATCCAATTCTTTGTTATTTTTCATTAGGGTTTCACCAAGTCCTTAGCCATGACTATTCTCTCTGAGATCGGCGACAAAACCTTTTTTGCTGCTGCGGTTAGTTTCTATTTTTCATTTTCCGAGTGTTTATCTATTTTCTGCACTTTCTGTGTCTTTTTGCGGATCGTGTTATTGGCTGCACGAGATTAATTGGTCGTTTTATTTGCACTGGCGTGTCTTGTCTATTAGAGTGGTGTTCTGGACTGAAACTAAGCGAGTTGCAGCGGTTTTTTTGTTGTTATCATTATTTTAAAAAATAGTTCTGTCGTTATATTATTTTTGAAAATAGTTCTTCTGTATGTTTATTGGTTTAAATTTGACTGAGGTACTGCGCATGTGTTTGAACTTAATTTATTTTGTTGTAAGTATGGGAATATGTATTCAGTTGTTTCTGCTGTTAATTGAATCTGAAGTAAAACATTTTTCATTACTCTGTTACTCGCAAGCACATGTTTTGTAGGGTGAGTTTGATGAAACTATCAGTGTAATTTATTTGTTATCTCTTCCATAGTTCAGATAAAGAAGAAATGGCCTTGATATTTGTTTTTATAGTCTTGAGAGTAGAGATTAGGACTCTGACTATTTGACATTATGATGCTTATTCAAGATACTTGCTATGCGGCATCCACGACGTCTAGTCTTATCAGGTTGCTTATTGTCTTTGACTGTAAGCTTCTTTCCTCTTTTCTCCTTTTTTTTTTTCTGCACTATATTTGTTTTTTGAAGGTAAGATAATTTGTCTATTGTATGATATAGATTTTTCTGTTCTTCCTTCTTTTTGAGCTTCGTTTCCTTGTAAATTTTGAAAATCTAGGTGATGACCATTCTATCTGCTCTTGTTGGCTGGGCTGCTCCTAATCTGGTGAGTATTCTTTGTTGCTGGTCCTGCCTTACAATTCTCGTCACTATTTTTTATTCCTATAGATACTTAAGAGGTGATATGCTATTAGTCCATTGATTAATATGTTGTATGTATTGAGATTAGATATTTGGCATGTATGCATTAGAGGGGTGTTATCTAAGTCATGCTTGGCTAAGTTGCTCTTCTTCCTTTATTTATGCCTTTAGTGATCTTCTTATAATTCTGCAGCTCTCTCGTACTTGGACTCATCATATTACAACATTTTTATTCTTGGGGTTTGGACTTTGGTCCTTGAAAGACGCATTATTTGAAGAAGGGTGATTATTATTATCCATCACATCAACTTGATCACCCATTTCTGTTGACAATAATTTTGAATCTGATATTTGGACTCGTGCTTAATGATTTCATTTGATGGACAGGGATACTGAAGAATTGGCTGAAGTTGAAGCTAAATTGGTTAATTTTTTACTTCTCTTTTTGATTTCTTATTTATGTCAATTTTGTTATGTCTTCTTGATACCACACTTGTACTGTTATTAGGATAAAGATTGGAAGGCTAACAATGGAGCTACACAAAATAACAAGAAGGTATAATAATATATATTTTATAAAATTTGCATTGCCTTATTTTCTGTCAGTCCTCATCTCATACTTTTTTTATTTGAAGGTCATGCATGCTTATATCTCATAAAATGGGCCCATTTGGTAAACAACTCAGTTAAACATTTATGCAATAAGATATTGTTTAATAGAGAGCATATTTGTAAGTTTGACTGTGAAGCTTACTGAAACAAGCTAAAAAGAACTTATTTTGACAACTTTTTCATGAAAACAAGATAAAAAAGAGCTTATAATTATAGGAGGTTATGACAAACTCTCTTAAACCCAAGTAAGCTACCCCAAACTCCCCCTATATATTTATTTAATCGAATATATTTTGTATACTTCATGACTCTTATGATAGTCAAGTGGTTAATAGATAATTGGAAGTTTGAATGTTCTTACAACTATACAAGATAATCCAAGAGAGAGGCCTTAATAACTTGATTGCAAAGAAGTTGCTTTATAAATGTTCAATACCAGATAAGGTAACGCACTTAACATCTTGTAGGCAAAGCTTCAAGAGCAAAAATTAAAATTGGATGATTCCTGATTTAAGGGCTTGATGAAAAATTGTGCAACTTATTTCCAGTCTCTAGTTGAGTATGATATTAAAATAAAGTAGAATCTCAAATGGTATATATTTGTTGCTCTAATATTGTATATACTGTGCCTCATTTCCCAGGTTGATGATGCCGCAAAAAAGCAGCAGCGGTCATTTTTATCTCAGTTTTTTTCTCCTATTTTTCTACAGGTAATCACCTATTAATGGTGGTATCTCTATACAGTATGTAGTTGAACAAGGAACTGGGTAGTAAACTATTAATCGTAGTATCTCTATACAGTATGCAGTTGAACACTGAACTGGTTTAAATTTGATCCCTTTTATCATCTCTTTTCTGCAGGCATTCTCTATCACCTTTTTTGGCGAATGGGGTGACAAGAGCCAGGTGAACATACTCATTAAGCTCCTCTATTTGAAAATGTTGACTGCTTCATCACTTTATTAAGCATAACTTTTGTTTTCTTCAGCTAGCTACCATAGGTTTGGCTGCAGATGAGAACCCATTTGGTGTGGTTCTTGGAGGGATTCTGTAAGTTTTGGCTTTTAGTTTTCTGTCTTTATTTTGGAGTCAGTCTATTTCCTTGTGACTTTAACTATTTTTCCTAGGGTTGTCCATGATGGCATCTCTTATTTCAATAATTTGTTGCTGCAATTCTGCATACATGTTATATACCTTGCAAATGCGTATTGTTTCTTTCGAGGCATAAATATGTAATCCAGGATGTCACAATCTTAAGGTCCTGCAAGTTTGGATGAGAGGAATATAATTCTAATTGCTTTTTCACAGGGGACAAGCATTGTGCACCACTGCTGCTGTTGTTGGAGGGAAGAGTTTAGCTTCTCAGATATCTGAAAAAATTGTAACAATTTCTACTCCATTTTATTTTCACTGCTCGTTGTATATCTGTTGCTCTCCCATTGTTTTTTTGTTAACTTATTTTAAGTTCAATATTTCGTATCTTAAAACTTCCTCCTAGATCATGTTTAAATAATTCAAAATTAGTTTCAGACTACCAGGAAACAATGGGAGTAATGAAAACAGAGTATATAAGAATTAATGGAAAAGGTGATGGAATAATGAAGAGTATGGAAATGCAATATGTGATGAAAAATACTACAATATAACCATGAGCCATTAGAACACCTTTTGGGATATATAACATTAAGCTGAGTGTGTATGTCATCTAAATATTTTATTCAATACCTTGCAGGTTGCACTCTCCGGTGGAATTCTTTTCATTGTTTTTGGAATTCAATCATTCCTTTCTCCTGTTGAATCATGAAGGGCTGTGCACTTGGTTAGTGATTATTTTATGTTTTGTACTAGATTTCATTGTTCCTGGGTCATATATGTCATTCTTTTGACCCTTTTGTAGTTCAAAATATGGTTACCATTGTAGAACCAGAGCCAAATTGAACATATAAAGCCAACCTGAGAGGATTGTTCTTTTTAGATAAACACATGCCTTCGCTTAATCTCTCATTGTATAGTATTCTTTCCTCCATCAACTAAATCCATGTGTAAATTTCCAATGCTTGAGGAATAATATAAGGGCCATAATTTTGTTTTGGGGGGAGGGGGAGTGGAGTAATAAAACAAGAATAGGGAAATACGGTGGGTAGGGGAGGGTAACGAAACTTGTTTGTATGCATATGATGTTGACACATTTGAATCAATGCTTTTGGGGTGATCTTTTTGTCATTGCTTGTGTAGAGGGGATGAAAAAGCTTTTCCGTCACGGAGCAGATGTTCAAAGTGAGACTGGTAGGTCTCAATTTGGGTGCACTTGATAAGTAATAATCTTTCTTTACAGAGGGATATCCACCTAAAAATGGGTAGAACCCTCCCAAGTGCGTTAACTTGATTATTGCATGTTATTTTTGTCTCTCCCAAGGCTAATATTTTAGTTTAGCATTGTTCTCCCCAAAAAGTTTCATGTACCGTTGTATACAAGTCTTGCTTGACCTCGATAATTTCAATTATAAAATGCTTGAGATTCTAGTTAACCCCCCCACTTTAAAAATTGAAATTCTTCTTGTTCAATGTTCATGAAGTTTGTGATAGTGACCTGCCATGATCTTCAACCTCCTGCCATGAACTAATTAATAGCAAAAAATATTTTTAGTTTAAACATTTTAAGAATAAACCAAAAAAATGAGACTTAGACATGTATTATTATTGTTTGATTATTTTGTTATCTGGTAAAATAAGATATGATTTTTATATTAATTTAGAATTTAGGTTGCTTAGTTTTTGAATAATTTTATGTTGCTTTATTGCATAGTGTATAATATTAAACATTTTATAATTATTAGTTTCATCATAATTGAAATATTAAACTACGATTCATTATTTTATGAGTACTTTTACTAGGACAACTGTCAGTAGTAGTAGTTTAAACATTGGAAATTAGTGGTAAATATTGATATAATTGTATGCATACGAAAATAATTATAAATTATTGTTATTAAATGTAAGAGAAAATTGTTCGTATCCATTATTAAATGATACTCACGTTTTCTTAGAGTTTTAATATAGGTTAATTGTTTTTTTAATAAAATGATTTTCACAATTCCTATAAATTTTAAATAGATATCAACCTCATTTTTTAATGTTTTTATTTGTGAAATATATAAGTATTTAATTTTTCTTTATAAAAAAAATTTTAATTTTATATTTTAACTCTTTTATTTCTAATTTCCATATTTTGTCATTTAGTATGATATTTTTTAATAAAAACAAGTGAATAAGTATCATTTAATTAAGATATAAGGAAAATGAATCTCATGAAAGGAAAATGTTTATTTCTATATTAAGAAAAATTCAAATATTATTTATTAAAAATATAATGTATGTAATGCCAATTTCAAAATTAATACAGGTGTGGTTGTTACATATCATTATTTATTTTCTTAAATTAAAATGTTTTTAATTGATAATCATAACTTGACAGACTTATATTTTTAAAGTGCATTTCATTTTGGGACTCGAATGTAGTTTTTGAGGTGTATCTTTGATGCTTAACTCGAAGGTGGTGTGGAAATTAAGAATCTTACAATGAGGAGTGATAGATCGAATGTCTTAAAGCACAAGTGCAACTACACAAACGAGTTAATATGCAAAGTAGGCAGAAGAAAACGTAGCACAGTCTCAAAAACATTTTGAAAATAATAGTAATTACTTTTAATTAACATTTACAAGAGTTTCTGAAATAAAAATCTCTTTTAAGTTATCATCACTTTTTGGGACTAGGATATCACATTAGATTAATTTTGCAGGGTACAAACTCACGTGATATTTGAAAATTATATTTCTTTAATCTGATCGAAGTCGTTGGGCGGAGGGAATCCCATTCTTTGCCATAAGGAATATTAAATCCAAAGCAACCCTACCCACGTAATCGTAATCACGAGCATCCATACACCACCAAGTTATTGATTTTTATAGATTTCGCACGTCACATCTCCAAAACATAATATTTTAAAATTTTAGCACTTCAACTATTTTTTAAGATTGTAATTTATACATATTGTAGTAAATTCAAGAACAATAATGCATTACTATACAGACATAAATCTAATATCTATGGCCCTTTTCCCCGCTCTTTCATTCAACAATGAGAAAAACAAAAAACAAAACATCCTCATCATGAATGTTTTACATGATAATCCCGTTAAGGAAATACATTTTTCTTTCAAGAAAAGAGAAAAACGAATTGCATATTTCGAGTTCAATGAATGTGATTATTGAGGAAAGCGAAAATAAGAAAAGTCTGTCGTGAGAAGAATTAGTTGAAGGTGCGTGAAGGCAAACACAATGCGTATTGTGCAATGTGTGGTGGTGAGTAGCCTCTGACCAAACCATTAACGTCTCTTAACACAACACTATGTTTGCTCTAAAATCTCACACAAATTAAAAAAAGAAAAAAGAAAAAAAGAGAGAAGAAGATACCATAGAATCTTCTACTCCTCCTTCTTCTCTCTCTTCTTATTTATCCTTCCCTCCATGATAACATAACAACCACCGCTGCACCTTCAACACAACACATAATAATAAAGAAAAAAAAAAATGAGGGTGCTAAATTCGCACGTGCTCCTCATGGATCTCCACTACCACCCTCACGTGCCAACCTCATCCCTCGCCTTCCTAAAAAGCTCCCACTTCATATCCTCCCTCCGTCGACGGCCAACAGCTATCCGATGTACGGCGTCACCGGAGATTCGTCGCCCGTCCTCCGACCGCTTCTACGGCTCCTCGCCGTCCACCTCGCGCCCGGAGGACCTCAGTCTCTTCCTCGAGCTTCTCCCCCTGAAGATGCGAAGGGAACTCTATCGCCACCGCGAAATTGGAGGCCTCATAGAGGTCGTCATGGATTTGGGGAGAAAACCTCTCGCCAGGTTTCCCTCCGGCGACTGGGTCATCTCGGAACAACCCATCCAGCACGAAGATTTGGGCCACGCCATTTCCAAGGTAGTGTTTCGAACAAATAACAATTTGTTGTGTCAGCTACTTGGCTTAGTTGTGATGACTTATGTGTAATTGCGATTGGTTGGTTAGGTTGGTGAGTTTTCTGATGACAACCGGTCGGGTATTGATAGGTCGTTGCATCGGATCAGTGCGATTCGCAATCGGAAAATGCAAATCATTGGACTTACTTGTCGAGTGGGTCGAGCTGTGAGTGGTAGTGCTGAAATCATACGTGATTTGGTGGAGGATGGAGGTTCTATCTTGGTCATTGGACCTCCTGGAGTCGGCAAAACAACTTTAATTAGGTAAACATTTTACGTATCTTGACACATTAGGTTGTCTGACTCAGTTTATTATTATTTATCCTACTAAAGTTGGAATTTAGTTAGAATCTATGTCAGTGGTAAATACATTGGAAATCTACTCAATCATTGTTTTTCTATCTTACAACATTCATTTTTATAAAAACGTTGGATTGAGGAGAGAATTTGATGCAGTAGAAGATGAGAGAAAGAAAATAGAAATTGAGATTGTTTATTAGATAGAAGGGAAGAGAGGGAAAAGAGAAGAAAAATTAGTAAAAAGTTGATAGAAGATAAAATTATTTAAAAAAACGTCATAGCATAATCTATCAAATGATTATTATTATCTTTTATCATAATTAATTATGTTATAATATAATCTATGTATTTTTTATCTTTCTTTGCATGTCTTTGGGTAATGTAATAAATTTTGAAAAACGAGAAATAAAAATACGTATTATGTATTGAAAGTTCATCTTTTATTTCATTTATCGTCTCTTCTCACATCCCGCGAATCATTCGTTCGATCCGAAGAAGGGCTAAAAAGTCACGCTGAAGAATTGACAGTGTATTATACTTGAAGTGACTGACATGGAAATTTGGATCTTACTTACTTGTAACTAATTTCCTTACGTTAAGGATTTAAAATTATAAAGATTTTTTTTTTATATATTTACTGTTGAAAAGTGTAACAATGCATTTTTCCAGTGCAACTCCAAAGTAATATCCAACAAAAATGTTCTACATCTGATTCCTTAATCAGTATTCCAGCTCACTTGTTTGCATTTTCCTTAAAATTAAGTCCGACTTTACTTAGGCCCTTTTCTATTATAAGAGAAGAAATAAAATAGTAGAAAAATTTAACTTCTCCCATAGACTAAAATCAACTTATGCATTTAACTTTTATAGAAGTTCCTCTCCGCTAAATTCACTAGGTGAATAAATTGATTTTAGTTTATGAGTGAAGCTCAATACAATTTTCCTTTTATTTTTTGTTCTAATGAGTGTTTATGGAAAAGTTTGCTTTATTTAGCACCTTAAAGATATTTAGCCATGTATTTAGAAGCCTTTTTTACTTGATTTGCTTGTCTGAAGAAGCTTGGTGTGCGCAGAGAGATTGCTAGGATGCTGGCAGATGAGTTCAGGAAGCGTGTTGTAATAGTGGATACGTCTAATGAAATTGGAGGGGATGGAGATGTTCCTCATACAGGAATAGGCAGAGCCAGGCGGATGCAAGTTCCAAACGTGAATATGCAGCATAATGTTAGTACGAATCTCAGTCATTTTTGTCTTGGTTGAATGCTTCTTATTGGAAGAGATCTAATGCTTTACAATCTTCTGTGACACTGTTTATTTCTATTTTATGCAGGTTATGATTGAAGCAGTTGAAAATCACATGCCGGAAACCATTATAATTGATGAAATTGGAACAGAACTTGAAGCATTGGCAGCCAGTACCATTGCTCAAAGAGGTGTTCAATTGGTTGGAACTGCACATGGAATGACCATTGAAAACATAATAAAAAATCCTTATTTACAGAATCTTGTTGGTGGCATAGAGGTGCAAATTTGCACTTTTCATTTTCCTTTCTCTTTTATGATTTTAATGAATAATGATTAATGAAATACACTCCTCCTGTCTGGCCCGCTCTTTCTTTCAAAGAATTAATTGATCTTAAACATTTCTGAGCCATGTATAAATGGAATATGTGTAGTGGTTTCCCACATTTGTAATATTTATTTAAGATTTATTTGAATAGAGCGTAACCCTTGGGGATGAGGAAGCCAGGAAAAGGAAAGTGCAGAAGACAATTCTTGAACGGAAAGGACCACCTACGTTTTCATGTGCTATTGAGATGATATCTAAAACCGAATGTCGTGTTCATCATAGATTAGATGCAACTGTCGATGCCATTTTGGCAGGTATTCCTCACCTTCTATATTGAACTGTTTCAATCAATATCTAATTGATACAATATTTGGGTAGCTATTTAAATTGAAGGGTAATGACAAATCTCTTTTATTACAGGCAAACCTCCATTATTTGAAGTCCGTCAATGGGATGATTCTGCCAATGATTTGGAAAAATATGCTCCAGTGCGTGAAGAAAATCTCGGAGAAGCATCTGATTTAACCAACAATAATATCACAAGTTCTGACAGTGAATCTGGTAAGAATGATAAAAACCATGCACGGACTTGGTCCACAAAATGGAGTACTCGAGGACCTGTGATTAAGAGGAGCTCACCAATGCAAGTTTATACATATAAGGTAAATTCTCTGAGGTTGCATGTGCTTGGTAAGGTCTTGAGTGATTGGGAACTCTATCACTATATGAATGGGCAATGTTTTTCTTGGTTAATGAATTTAGATTCTCGAAGCTGATCTATTACAAGTAGCAAAGGTAATGGGGCTTGAAGATGTAATAGATGTGACTGATGATATTGGAACTGCTGATGCAATTCTAGCATCCGGTTCTGAGATACGGCAGAACGCATGGATCCGAGGCGTAGCAAAATTCCATCACGTACCTGTATTTGTTATCAAGGTGCCCTCTAACTGCTTCTTTAGCTATTCCTTCAGTGTAAATCTCCTTATGTCTTATAACGAACTTTTGTTTCGTTCAGTCTAATACCATGGCACAAATGGTCAAGGCAGTACGAATGATCCTTGGGCTAGAGTCCTTCGGCCGTACAACAAATAAGCCACTAAATGACTACTTGGATATTGAAATTGAGGATGATGAGCCGAAACGAAAACCATCTCTGGAAGAGATTGATGCCTTGGAGGTACACACCCATTACAATTATTTAATTAGTATCAGATTACTCCACTTCAAGTTCCATTTTCTATTATGGAATTAAAAACTGTGCTGTATACTACAGTCTAGCAATTGTTTTCTGAACTTAGCTGATGCTGGTTTCTGAAAGATGATGCAGTTAGCAATTGAATTAGTTTATTCAAATGGGAAATAGATCCCCTCCTAAGGACCATCTGTGCTTACTAATAGTAATATGTGTTACTTGATTCTCTATTAGTGCCTGGCTTTATGCTTAGAAGGCCATTTCCTTCGTACATTACATTCATTCACACAAGAGAAAGCCTACAGTATTATTTATAAACCTCTTTCAAGTTGAAATTATTTTAAATTTTTTCTGGCAGGAGGTCCGGCTTGCAATAGAGTATATTGTGATTCCTGGTGGAGAGGCTGTGGAACTTCTTCCTAGACGTTCTGAAATTATTGCCTTGCAGCTTGAACTTGTGCAAAGTTACCAGTTGGCTGCTGAAAAATCAGGTACAGAACAGAATCCCAGGTTGCAGATTCTTCCCTTGAGGCTTAATACAAAAAAACCCTCCAAATCTATTTCCGCTGCCGGCAAGAAAACAAGTCCTACCTCTATTGGTGACAGCGGCAATGGCACCAGTGTCACCAGGCTTCCTATTTTGCCTGAATAATTCGATTCTTTTTCCCAATTCTAACATACTGGTTCGTACATGTATGATGTATGTAACATGTACAGTCATGTACGCTGTGTAAATAATTTATTTATAGCCCAAGAGCTGTAGCTCATTTGAGGTGTGACATTTATAGCGGGAGTTTGATCCTCTGTCGAGTCAAGCTACCCCTTCTTGTACCAAACTGTATGTATTCAAAAAAGAAAATCAATCTACATTAAATGTAATATAATTTCTCATGATTCTACTCCTCCAATGTACTTTCAACTTATAATGGTAAATTTGTATAGCTTGTGTGTCAAGCAGACACTTTAAGCTTTACAATAGCCAAATATATAAATATGAATATCCAACTCAATTGGTTATAATTTCAGACAATAAAAAATGTCAATGTTTAAAAGGTTATTTTAGATACTTTTTCCTTCTCTATTGTCATCTTTTATGCCAAGTTGGCTGGTTTGATTAAAAAGTAATATTAGAAAAATAGGTATTCATGAAAATAGTATAAAAACAATCTATTTACCATTTTCTGTATTCACCCTTGGAATGTTAAGTAAGCTACTTTATATGGATCATGCACTGTTTTAAATTTTAAAACATTATATTTATCTTTTTCTTAAATAGACTATTGTAATAAAGAAAGAGTATATAAAATGTAAATATAATTTGAAAAAAATTCAAAAAGTGTTATCATAATTTCCTCTAAAATAAATTATAATATTATATGAAGTTTAATGAAATTATATATAATTATTTCTCAATCAACAATATTTCTTTAGGCTATACAGTTCAAATATTTAAGGGATTAATATAATATAAAAAATATTGGTGCGATTGTTTTCTAATCGATTTATGAATGTAAAATAAAATCTTGAAAGTAGTTATTTTTCTCCAAATATTAATATGTGAATAAGGTCGTTGAAAGAGAGAAATGCCGGGTTAATGTTAAAATTTTTCTCCAAGAATTATAATGAAATGGGATGAAATTTATTTCTCTTCCTTTATTTTGTTTTTTTTTTTAAACATAATTTGTAAAAAGGATGAATAATTTTACAGTAAAAACTGAAATAAATATTATATTTTTTAATCATGAAAATATTTAATACACTACATTTGTTTATTTTTGTTTTATTTTACATTTATTAACAAATAGAAAGGGATTCCTATTTATTCTTCTTCATTCATATTATTCCTCCCTATTTCTATTCCAACCCGAATTTTTTTTAGTGAAAGTAGATTTTTATTTAAATTATATTTTAAAAGATTTTATTATTTTTTAAAATAAAAATATATTACATTATTATAATTAAAATATTATTAATATTTAGTACTTTCTCATATTTATACTTATGTATAAAATATATTAATAGAAATAGGGAGATATATCCATGTAAAAATACACATACACAATAACTTTAAAGTTCTCATAATATATATAGAGTAACGAATATTTTATCTCATCCTAAAATTTTAAAAAATCATAATATATACGTCACAATTAATAAAAGATTAATTAAAATTTTGTTATCCATTTCCACCAAATGAATATTCATCTTTTATCACATTTTATTTTACAAATAATCTGGATGTATATTTATAAATGTGAGTATTTTGTCTACGAATCTTCTTGTTTTTATTCGTATTATTTGGATTTCAAAAGATATTTCGAAATTATCATTAAAGGCATTTATAATTTTTTATTTTTCATTTGAATTCTAAAAAATATTTTCACTATGTTATTTGAATGACTATATAATTCCCTTCTAGTTATGGTTTTCTCAAACATCATTTCTCCAAACTTAAGATACACTATAAACAAACACGGCCTTAATACTTAAAACAAAAAGAGTTTTATTTCGCTCTCCTACGTGAGCGTTATCGTGGAGTTCAACTTCGAGGGTTTCCTTCAACCCACTGAAATTCTCTCTGTAATTTCCAATTCCACAGTTGCTCTCGTGTAAGTATCTCAAAATTACACTTGCAGAAGATTCCCTTGCCCTACTTCTTATTTTATTTCAATTGATTTTGAAACTGTCAGCGTTTCATTTTGAGCGGTTCAGGATTTAGCTAGATTTGGAGTGAGTGATGGCTGGGAAGGAAGATAATCGAATATTTGTGGGAGGTTTATCTTGGGACGTCACGGAGCGTCAACTCGAGCATGCCTTTGCTCGTTACGGCAAAATTCTCGAATGCCAGGTTTCCCCCTTCGCTCTCAATTCCCCAGATAAATTTCCCATATTTTAAATTGAGTTATTTCATTAGTATGAAAAGGGGATCTTGTTTCTTCTGGTTTCTATGTTGTTAGGTATGCAGTTTCAAAATTAAGAATGGAAAGGAGTTTTTTTTTTTTTTTTTATGATGTTTTAATGGAATATAAATGTGCATATCATTGTAAAATAACAGTATGATAACTTACCATGAGACTATTTTATTCATGAAGAGATCCTGTTTAGTGCCGTTGTGGTCTGTAGTTTAATATAGGGGCGATTGTAAGGTCGGGTTTGGGTGGGATTATTGCGTAGGGATTTCATTTTATTTTATTTTAGTGTGTTTTCGGGTTGAAGTTTTTTATGGGTGAATTCTGTACTAATTTGTCTTTTTCATTTTTTTGTCATTCTGGAATGCTGGTTTTGAATCTTGTGATCTTTGCGATGCGGTAGATGGATTTTTAAAAGATGTTTTACCGGAATGATTTCTTCTTGGCTGAAGCTCATTTCCAGTTTTGTGATAAAATGATAGTTAGTGGTAACTATAGAGCTTGAGCTGGAGATTAGTATGGTTCGGATATGTGAAATTTTCTGCAAGGAAGGTAGTTGATCTAATAACAGTCTGAGCTGTCTGCTATTTGGCAGGGAGATTTATTGTCTTTGCTGTGCTTATGATTTGTTAGCAAAATCACTGTAATTTGGAGTGGGTATTTTGCTGTATGATTGGACCGGCAAGTGACAATTGGACAAAGTTAATACCATAACATGTGGGTTGGAGTATGGTTTTTTTGTTTTCATACTTGTTTAGCTCGGCTCACAGATATACGCCTGGTTGTATGATTAATGAACTGAGAAGTATGTGACACTTGTTTGATTGAATTACATTTAATTCTTTTGGGTAAAGAATCTTTTTAATGTCAAAATCCAAAGTTCACCCGAAAAAAACCATGCCTTATCTGTACATTGGCTTCCTTTCTTTTCTAGTTGCAAAACTGTCATCTGATGGCAATTGTTACCAGTAGGATATATAGCAAACTTATGCCGGGCATTCCTTATTTTGCTTTTGGCTATTGATCAATTGTTGTCCAACTTAATTTAGGAAATTAGAAGCGAGCTTTAAAGACTTCTATCTCACATGGTACCTTTTTCAAATTTTTTCCCCTTGATATATTGATATGTTGTGAACACTGCTTATACCCATTTCTTTAGTTGTAGAGGTACGCCCAACAGATGTGCCATCTTATGAACTGACTATGCATTTGATAAGGTCAAGCTACATTTCTAGTGAGCCTGAAATGAGGAAAGATTCACATACATCGAATGTAATGCAGTTCCTGGGGAAAAGAGTAACATACTCTGTCTTTATTGGAAATGAGAATCCTCTCACTAACTAATATATTGTTCCCTTCGAAGTATAGATAGAACAGTTTCAAAGGGTTGTGATTATGTGGTGCTCTGTAGACCAGTTAAAGTGAGTTCAAGAATTCATGTGTACTTGCTTCAGTTGAGCAGTCCAGTCTTGCTGCACCTTTGACAGTTTTTATTAGTTTCTCATAGCAATGTAAAGCTCTCTGGTGTTTGGACATTGTTTTGTGTTTGGTTGATGTCATCAGCCTTGTAAGATATATATATGCATATAAATATCCAAACCATGTGAGTTTGACTCTACAACACCAACAAATTCCACATCATTACGGGTCCTGTGAGTACTTTAGTGCTGCAGAGCTCAAAATTTTCAATCTGAAGCATTGAGATTATAGACAATTGCTGCTCAGAGAGTGGGTTTTTCCCTTTTATATGAAATACTGTATATTCACCAGTTGATCTCTACTATGATTGCTAACAGTTTTGAAGGTTGAATGAATCAATGCCTTCGAATTAGTCATTACTTCCTTACATGGAATATTGTTTGGAGATATTTTCTTTGGTATGAATGGTTCTGATTTTGTCAGTGTACTCTTAGATAAAGAATCCTCATCTGCATAAGAATGGTTTTCTGCTAAAATGCTGGTGTGCTGTTGGATAAGTCAATTAAGAGGCAGCAGGATTTCCTAGAATGATAGGCATTTAATCACAGTATAGTCAATATTATGCATTCATCAACTGTGTCAATCAGTATTGGTGCTGCTGCATAAGATTGATTTCTTGCATCTGGTGAGGCGAATAGATCTCGCAGAAGGTAGCTGAATTGCTCAAAAAGTGAAAGCTTGATGTTCAAAAGGAATGCTGTGAATGCCTGCATTTTGTCTTTCAGAATTATGAAAATTATTTGCTGGCTGAGTGTTCTTGTTTTGAAGAGATATCCAAAGTGAAACTCATCGTAAAACTGAAGTTGTGACAAAATCTGTTGACTGCTGAAGTGAAAATTACAGTTGGATTTCATGACATACCATTCATTTGTGGCTACATTTTGTTGTAATGTTAGTTCTTCTGGGTCAGAAAATAATAGTATCATAAAATACAATGCTTTTTTCAAATAAGTCAGATGAAAAGAATATGTATGAGGGATTAAATTGTTAAAGGTCTATCATGAAGTCATGAACAGTATGGAATATGCTGAAATTCTAGCTCAGAATGTGGAAGTAATTGTTTTAAGAGATATTTGTTGTCAAATATGAGCTTGGAATTCCTCTGAAAGGCTTAGCTATATGAAAGCTGTATCATTGTAACAGAGAAGTAAGTTGTCTGGTCATAAGTTTTTCCTTTTAATTTAATGTTGTTTGCATCTAGTAAATAAAGTACTAAAACCAATATGCAACACACTTTTCTTACTTGTACGTTTCCATTTATGTTATTATTATGCAAAATACTTTATTGAAGCTGAATGTTCATTTCAAATATTTTAGATTCTGGTCATGTAAGCATAATTTTACTGACAATCAGCAATTTGGAGTAATAGATTATGCTGTTATTCTGTGACTTATTTCTTGTGTTTCTCTCTATTTTTAGTCTGGTTGGTAAGGGAGGGTAATGTTAGTGGATGGTTTATTAGCCTTGTTGAATTTAGATTACCCCTGTAAAGTATCTGAGATTTTTGCTGAGATGGGGTGTTGGCTGAAATGCATTTAAAAGAAAAAAAAACATGTTAGACAACATTAATGGATGACACTCTTGAATGCTTATTAGAAGTTGGCTGATCAACATTGTGATCAAATAGTCTTCGGCTTTTGTAATTGAAATCGTATGAAAAACTGAGTTCATATTTTAATTATTAACAAGCAATCATTTCCAGTTTTTGCTACATATGAGCTACTTTGACCTATCTTTTACTTTGTTTATCTTTCAGTTTTTTCTCCTTTTTATCCTCATCTTGTTTGTACGAGGTGGTTCTACTTTACCGGTTTTCTAATTTATTTAATTTTAATGGTGGGGTAGCTTTATATTGCTGCACTTTCTTCTATTACAATGACTTGATGTTTCTTATTTACTTGTGCTGGTTTAGCTAACTGTGCCCTACTAGCAGACATGTTCTGTATCTTGTTCTCAATATCTATATGAGAGTCTTAAAATAATGGCTATGTAGTGCTCAATGCATAAAAAGAAGCATTGATATTGTCACTGTTTCGATAAAATATCATTAAATATAGTTAACATTAGTTGTGTGAATTGCTAGTATTTAGTATGGGTTCTCAAATGGTTCTTCATGTAGATTATGATGGAAAGGGATACAGGCCGTCCCCGTGGATTTGGGTTTATCACATTTACAGACCGTAGGGGAATGGAGGATGCAATTAAGGAAATGCATGGACGGGAAATTGGTGATCGCATCATCTCTGTCAACAAGGCACAGCCTAAGATTGGGGGTGAAGATGTAGATCAAGGTTATAGAGGCAGCTATTCATCAGGTGGTAGGGGAAGCTATGGTGCTGGAGATAGGTTAGGGCAGGATGACTGCTTCAAATGTGGGCGTCCAGGACACTGGGCCCGAGATTGTCCTTTGGCAGGAGGTGGTCGTGGTCGTGGTGGTAGTTCATTTTCTTCACGTCCTAGGTTTGTAGCTGCTGGTGGACATGGGGATCGCCTTGCTGGTGAACGTGATCGATATGTGGATGATCGTTACGATGGAGGACGCTATGGAGATAGGGATCGTTTTGACAATCGTGACTACAAATATGGCAGCCGTGATCGCTATACCAGTGACAGGTATACATACGGTTTGTTGTCCACCATTTTTTTTTTCTTCATTTAATTATGGCAAATAATTAGATTTAATCTGCTGTCTTATCTTGTTTGCCTTTGAGTTGGGCAATGCCTCTACTATGTATTTGTCTCCATATTTATTAAATTGAAATTTTGCAGGTATCCAACCAGTGCTGATCGATTTGCAAGCGATCGATATGGCGGTGGCTCAGATCATTACCCACAAAATGGTTATGGAAAGGAAAGAGGGTATGACCGATACGGTGGTCCACGAGGTGGTGCTGACAGGTATGGAAGTGGAATGGCAGGTCGAGATGAAGGAAGGAGTTATAGGGGCAGACCTGGTCCATATGACCGCCCAAGCAGGGGTTCTCGTCCATCACTGGACCGTTACTGATTTTTACTGTTGCAGAAGCCACAATTAGAGACCTAGTTCTTGTTATTATTAGTAGGACATCCAAGTTTGGGACAACTGCTAGATTGTAGTTTCATAGATTTTGTGGATTTCGTAGTTTGTTTTCTTATTTAGATCTGGACAATCTCTCTCCACTGTTCCCCCCTTGTTTGCTTCACAAACTTTCCCTAATGCAAGTGAGCATGATTTTCCGCTTCATTCCAAAATTTGTGCTGTTACACTTTTGTTCTGTTCTATCTCTGCAATCATGCATTCCTCGCTCTCGTGCCACGCTGCTACAGTCAGTACTTGCTTTGCTTCCAACCACTACACCGTTGCTCCACCGTGAACATCCCCGCTTTTTTATAACAAGTATGGTTTTTTTGTTGTACTTTTGGAAAATTAATCTTTGAAACCTTATTTTAAAATAAATAAATGTGTCAAATTTTACACTCGACAAATTAGGTACGTAGATTGATGGTATAAGTCACCTTGTTGACTTTTACTATTTCTATTTTGAAAACCATCCCTTCCAATTTTTATTTACTTGAATCAAATTATTTTATATTTTTAATTAGTGTATACATTTTAAACTCTTTTTATAATATAATTCCAAACGTTTAGTAAGTGTTAGTTTATTGTTTTTAAAAGCAGTTTTTATTTATTTTTCATTTTTTAAAACTAATTATTTGATTTTTAAATTATTTTCATTTTTAGTTTCTTAAAATAAAAACAAATTTTGATATAATGTGTGTTTACTTTTTTCATTGATGGGATATGTGTTGGTATATTATATAATTTGTTTTATTATTAAAAAAATATTTGTTTTTCAATTTTTTATGCGACTTTTCATGGTTAATGTCATTATCTTCTCAAAATAGTTTTTAAATTAAAATTATCATTTTTTAAATTATTTTAAAAATATTTTCTTAAAATTAATTACTAAAGTAATTTTAAAAAAATAAAATTAACTTAAACAAATCCTTACTTTACTAAAGAAAACTTGTTCCCCTACTTCCACCTCTCATCAATGTAGTCTTTCTCTTTACTTCAAATACAATCAATGTAATCATAAATTTCAAAACATGTAAACAGGCTTGCATGGAGATTACGGTCAGCATAACCTTAAATTAAGAGTTTAAGTAAAAGAAAACTACATTTATATTTGTATTTATTTTTACTAAAGAGCCATTTTTATTTTATAAAAACTAATAGCAATTTTTTCGTTAGAGACTAAAACTTGAGTTGAGAGAGAGAGAGAGAGTTGGTGGTGACTTCTCTTTTATTATTCCTTAAAAAGTAGTCTCTGATGTTACATTTAATGTTATTAATTTATAAATTAGTTTCTGAAGACAATGGTTAAAGTTTGACTGAGACATTTTTCCTTTTTTTTTTTTTTTCTTTTTCTTCCTATGTTTCCTAAATTATCTCTTTCTCTCTATGTTTTTTTTTATTCCTCTTTCTTCCTCATCGTTGTCATTCACGCAATGACAAAATCCCCTCCAACCCTAATTTGTAAGTTAATAACACCCAATTTTCTCTAATTTCTTAATTTAATAATTTATTAATTTTATTACTTGGTATGCACAATTGAATAAAAACTAACTAATTCATAATCCATTTAAATCAGGCACCCTAATTTCCATTATTTTTTTAGTAATTTTAATTTAATTTTCTTTCAATGATTTCAATTTATTAATCATACTTCTCTGGAAAATGGCGAACAAGAGAGAATTCAAAGTCTTAAAAGATAAAAAGAAAACTAATTTATAAATGCATTTCCTTTTCTCTGACTTTGGAATTTTAAATTGAAATTCTCCAAACTGCATTTACAACTTTTATCCAGACATGTCTAAGACACGTTGGATTTTAGTTTGAAATATAATTTTCTTAATTAAAAGTTAGAAAAAGATATAAAAAGATGTGAAAAGAAAGAAAATGGTGGCAATAGAATGAGGTTGTGAATTAGTGATGCATGATTTTCTTCCTCCCATTTGGATATTCCCATGCATATGCAAGTTGACTTTAAGGAAACCTGCTCCTAACTCATTAGTCTAGTGGACCTCACATAAATAAAACAACTTTGAATTTCATTACTCAATAATTAGCCTTTAATCAATAACAATTCCTCCTACTATTTTATTAGTACATTATTTTAAGATTAAATTTTTTTTTTGTATATCTCCAACGTTAATTTAAACTATATTTTATATTTTTTTAAAAAAAACAGTATTTTTATACTTATATTAATTTAGTTTTGACAGTAATTAATTATACTAATCTTAAATTAACTATGTTAGTATAACTATTCTAATAAGTAAAGAAAAAAATTATAAATTTATTAAATGTTTAATATTAAAAAAAAACTAATTTTAATACAAATTTATTTAAAAGTACCAAGACTTAATTAAATCTTATTTGAATTTGAATTTGAATTTGAATATATCCGTATCTTGTGTGTGTCTTTATGCAATGACTTGTCGTATCATCTTTCTTTCATCTAGAATCATTATTTCCATTTTACGTGCTCATTTGAATAAGCAAATTTTATTCCTCATATGAATAATAAAAATCGAAGATACTAACTAAAAAGAATATATTAAGTTCGGTTTTTGGTATGAATTGAAAAACCATTTCCACAGTTTGTCGATTCGTTCACACATGGCAACGATGTCCTCTGTTTATCCAATTTTTTTGTCAAAATGATGTATATATTAGATTGGTGGCAAGTTACAAATTATAAATTGAGATGTGAACCCAAAAAAACTAGAAAATGGAACATGTTTGCGTGGGAACATAGAAACGTCGACAACTTATCCACTATGCACTGTATGACCACCCACTAGGCTGTCTTTGTTGAATACACATCGCCATTAACGTTGACTCAGAGATCCCGATTGAAGCAAATCATCACCTGTTTTGAAACTTCGTTGCATTTTGAATGTTTCTATTTTTAAATAAAATCAGAGTTTTTATTATATGGGTAAGAATTATAAAATAAAATTTTATTTTAAATTTTAAAATAAACATTAATTTTTCGTTTAAAAATAAAAATACCTTAAATATATATAAGAATATTTTGTTGTTATAGCATAGAAAGTTATGACATATATCTTTGAACTTGATGATGATACGTATGATTGGTACAAGCAAAATTTTGACTATTTACATACATTTCTTTTAGTTTTAATTGTTAGTTTTACAATTATTCCATATGAGTGTATTGAAAGAAAACAACACTCTCACACACGAGGATTAACTTGACCATGGAAGCTTCAATAGTTTGTATTAATAATAGATGGCAGATTCAAAACCCAATACTATTATTGCACACTTGCCCTAAAAAAAAAAAAAAGTTGCTGACTTGGCAACAAGTGTTGATTATCTCACTTCTAAAGTCAAAGGAAAAGATTCCGTGGGTTAGAGTGTTACTTGTAACCAAATGAAAGTTGGAAAAAGTGAAGTACACGTGAAGTTCTAGAGGAATGTGTTGACTAACTGTGCAACAGGGTAATAAAACTTTTAAATATAATTTCATAATCCACCTTTCTATTTAACTCGTAAATTGATTTAGATACTTTTTAAACATGTATGGTAGTGTTTTATATACTAGTTATATAGGATATATATATATATATATATTGAAATTTTGCGTTTGAATTTTATTTAGGTAATTTTTTATCATTTAACAATAGTTCAGTGAGAAAAATTAGTCTTGAATTTAATAAGGTTAGAAAAATAAAAATTAACAAAATAATAACACTAATAATTATTATTATTACTGTTATTATTTATTATTATTATTATTATAAACTCTAGGAAAAAAAATAAAAACAGAAATCTGAAATATTTGCAACAAATTTCTATTACATGATGAAGACTTTTAACCTTTTTTTTGTACAGAAAAATGTATTGTGTATGTCATTTTCTGTACCAAACTTTTCATGTTGACCAACCAATCAAAGTTTCATACCTTAGGATTTTGTCATTAACGTATTTATTCTAGTATTTTTAACATAATCTTGTCTGAAGTTATATATAACCCAAAATTTACTCATCTCGTGATCCAGTTAAAATAATTTTAGACAAAATTTCACGATATAAATGGATCTCGTTTATTAATAAAAGAAAATTGTTTGATGTTTCTTAATTTTATTAAAGTTTGCAAAATAAGTTAGTTAAGTATTTTAATTATTTCGTTGTAGTTTTTAGCCTGCATTTCAACAAGCTATTAGCAACTAAGATAAGTTAGTTCATATTTTGCTATTTTATAAATTTAATATCTCTAATATCAGTAAAAAATATATATATTTGAACGAAAATATTTAGATAATTTATATTTTATGACTAATTTTTTTTATTTAAATAATTTTACAAAACTATTTTTTCAAGGAACAGTTCAATCCAACAACCCACTCCCAGATAGAATGGACCAAGGCAAAGTAAAATAGATTTGGTTTCGGCGCGATCTTAATTGGACAATTAAACTTCAAAAGTCACACCATTCGTTTAACATTTTTTGAAAATTCTAACTTCTTTAGAGACTAATTTTTACTTTTTGGTTTAAATAATTGTCAGAGATAGAAAATAATAAGTATACTTTGACGCCGGAGAATTTGCGGCGTTGACGTATAATATTCTACTCAATAATCATAATCAATATGTTCACACATCTATAACTTATAACATCATTTTATATAGCCTTTCAACAAAAACCAGGTAATTATTATTTATTTCTTTTATTCATAAAGTGTTTAATTTGATTCTTTTTTGACCATGCAAGTTTTCCAACTGAGCGTGTTCTAAAAAATGTTTCGTATAATTTTTCTTTCTTTTCGTAAAAACAATAAAATTGGACTCTGTGACTTAATCATATCATCTAAATTCTGACCAACATGTCATTTTTATTATCTGTCAAGTGTGTAGATATGAACTGGCTTTGGGTAAAGTCGTGGCTAAATTCAAAAAAAATAAAAATAAAAACTTTTTGGTTGGATTAGATT